GTAGCCAAAGCAGTTGGTCCTCCCCCTGCGTGCTAGTGGACAAACCTGACGGCTCAGTTCGGTTTGCAACCGACTACCGAAAGGTGAACTTCGTCACTAAGACGGACTCGTACCCCATTCCCAGGATGGACGACTGTATTGATAAAGTAGGCAAGGCTACTTATATTACGAAGCTCGATTTGTTGAAGGGTTATTGGTGTGTGCCCCTAACCGAGCGCGCTAAGGAGATATCTGCTTTCGCGACTCCGGATGGCCTGTATCAATACCGCGTGATGCCTTTTGGGATGAAAAAATTCCCAGGCCACCTTCCAGCGAATGATGAACCATTGCCTGCGAGATCTGGCTGGTGTAGAGACGTACATCGATGACATAGTCGTGTACAATAACACCTGGGCTGAACACATGATATCTCTACGAAAAGTCTTCGATCGGTTAAAGCATGCCAATCTCACCATTAACCTTGCGAAAAGTGATTTATGCCAGGCAGAAGTGACGTATCTCGGACATGTTGTCGGCCATGGGCGGATAACTCGATCGAGGCAAAAATACAAAGTATAATTAAGTACCCAGCCCCGACCAATGTAAAAGGCCTGAGGAGATTTCTCAGAATGGCGGGTTACTATCGCAAGTTCTGTAAGAATTTCTCTGATATAGCCTCACCGCTTACCCAACTGTTGAGGAGGAAAGCCAAATTTGATTGGACACCCGACTGTCAGAGATCCTTTGATCAAATAAAAGCCCTATTGTGCTCAAACCCTGTCCTCAAAGCTCCTGAATTTACCCGACCGTTCAGGTTAGCTGTAGATGCAAGTGACCATGGCATTGGCGCAGTATTACTACAGACCGATGCAAATGGTATCGAACACCCGGTCAGTTATTTCTCAAAAAAATTCAACAATCACCAGAAAAATTACTCTACAGTAGAAAAAGAAACTCTTGCCCTTTTGTTAAGTTTACAACACTTCGAAGTGTATGTGTCTTCGTCCAGTCAGCCTACTTTAGTATATACTGACCATAACCCACTAACCTTCCTCAGGAAAATGAAGAATACGAACAGGCGACTACTGTGCTGGAGTTTAGCGTTACAAGAATACGATCTAACTATTCAGCACATAAGAGGCATCGACAACGTGTGTGCTGACGCCCTGTCCCGTATCTGATCGATAAGCTTTTGAGGATCAAACGGGGACGAAAACAATCTCTTTTCTTTTTTTTAGAAAACTGCCGTTAATGGCATTTTTCTTTTTTTTTGGTAGGGAGGTGTCACGTAGCAACGATTTCATTAACCATATAGGCGTTAGGCTAAAGTAAAATCTTAAATAAAGAGAAAATTAGTTAGATATAAAAGAAAGATAAATAAATAGATAAAAACAGAAATTTAATCCAATGCTTCCGATTCGCGAGCGAATATATTCTATGATCAGCCATACCCCCCCTCTTCTCTTCACAAATTCTTTCTCTCCCTATCCTCTCTTCCACCCGCCAGCCAAGGGCCCGTGAACTTAGAAGTGACCCGACCGAGGATGACCTGGTTCTAAGATTTCGCATTTGACCATGAGTAAACTCCAGACACCATCAGGGTCTCATGCTGCGATTCACGTGATCGGGACGTACGGAGCATGCGTTGAACTTTTGGCCATCACACAAACACTGCGTGATTTGCGCCCTATTCTCCTGCGTACCCGGTCAAGGACGAAGGGAACCCACGTGACTGTCTGTGGGGACAGCGAAAACCAAAGAAGGATTTTTCAGTTTCCCTCTGACCAGCGGCAGTTGAACATCGCTGGGCAAAAAATCGTCAGACCGCCCACTGAGATGAGGAAGACCACGAAGTCTATCGACCAGTGATTGAAAGGGTGCTATTGACTGATCAACCCAACCAAATGCCTGTATGAAATGCTGGGGACCCACGAACACTTGCGAAAAGAAGAAGAATCCAGGAACATTGTCGGCCGCCAAGATACTGATTTATCATCAGAACTCTCGCTTCGGCGAATCAAAACTTTAATGAAGATACCAGCCCCGACTGCAAGATAAGTTGGTTCTTTTGGCTCGATCTATTTTCATATATGTATGTATTCGCTCGCGCCTTCTATTCTTTACTGATGTCCTCCCCCTTTGTTAAATGAATGTTCTTTTTTTTTTTCTTTCTTTGTTTCGTTATATATATATTTATAAATAAATGTTTAATTTTGAAATCCATCGTCTTGCGTCTGTTCTTCGTTGATTCCCTTGTGTCGCTTCCATTTCTGAGTGAAGACCGAGAAAAGAAACCACGTTTTCCTTTTTTTTTAGAACCCGTGGTTCATCTATATGCTACAAGTTCGTAACAATATATATATACATACACACAATGTAAAAACTAAAGAAAAACAATAGTCAAAGTTCTACTGTAGACATTATCTTCAATAATTCCATGCCATTTAGAATAGAATAGAAAATGCCATTTAACCTTTCCCAAATAGATTGGTTAGCCAGACACATAACTGGATCTATTAATAGCAACTGTCCATAGAGGGTATATGAAATTGAATCAGCACAAGCTACATGACAGTTTCCATGTAGCATCAGTGCATTTTGAAATTAGAGATGTATTTTTTGATTTTTCATTGATCAAATTCCAATACCAACCAGCAGGTACAGACTTATAAAAGACTCAGATTTTGAAGTGTATGTGTTTGGTGGATGGGTGGATGTGTGGAGGTTGGGGTTTATTGGATGAATTCCGTTCCCATAAAGACAGACTAATAGCACTGGCAATAGGCCAAATGCATGTACAGTTGATGGCAATACATACTTAAAACTGATGAAGTTTAGAAATAAATTCAACCTGGAAAGAATTTTAAAAAAATATAAAATCATGAACATTAGCAAATGGTAATTTTTGTTTATTTTTTTTTTTTCATTTTCATCTTCTCTATTTGAGAAACTCGTTAACTGTGACTCAGCTGCAATTATCTTCATCCATAATTTGTGTTGAAATGCTCGAATTAGCTTATTGCAATAACCTGATATGATTTGATCAACCTTGAACTGATTGTTGTCCCCAGATAATGTGTCCCTCCAATTTTGATGCCTTCTGCTTTCAAGATTGTTTCTGACTGCAGTCATGTTTAGTGCCATACAAAAAAAAAATTTCAACAAACAAACAATACATGGCTTCATAAAAATTCTTTATATAAGTATCTTAATTATGATCAAAATAAAATTACATTGCTTTCTATGCTACCAATTGAAGTGCTTATGTGAAACTAATTACAGATATTCCCTGGAGTTAAATTTGATATTATTAAAGTTGTGTTCAATTAAATTAAAATCTCATGAAATAAAGATGCAAAGAAAATACAGTTAATATTTGAGCATGCTAATCACAAATTGGTGAGAGACAAAGAAGAGAATGAATATGGCAAAAATAATAAGTTGGATGAAAACTATAAATAAAATAAGAATTATGAAGAGAGTATGAACTTGACGTGTTGTGATAAAATGCAGTGAGACTAGCAATAAAATATGAGAAGGTGCTGAAATCTTCTCAGGCAAAACAAAAAGCTTTTCAAAAAAAAATCTAATGTTTGGTCAGATTTTGGGAAGCAGACCAAACCATTTTTAATTTTACAAGTAGTAATAATTATCATTGAGTGCTGGGATAAAATGCAGCAATAATAAGATATATTAAATTAATATCAATAAAGAGTGTATAATAGTAATAAGTAAAATTAAGAATAATAGTAATAATGAAGAGTGTAATATGAAGGGTGGGATAAATATCAGCACTAATAAGATTGAGTAAAACTAGGGATAAAATAATAGTCATAATAAAGAGTGTATTAACTTGGATTAAAGTGATAAAATGCAACAATAACAAAAAGGACTTAAGTTCATTATAAAATAATAGTAAAATGGTTTTATATAAAAAATGTAAATAAAATGGCCAGTGTCTTCCCGTAATATATTGGCAAACAAATTTATCTTAAATGTACCATGGTATTTTCAGCATTGCCTTGATTATCTCAATGAATTAATTCTCAGAATGAAGGGACTTATTACAAAAAAAAAAATTAAAAAAAAAAACTGCTTATGTACTGAAGAATTCAGGCACAAATTATAAAGACAGTAAAGTTAGAGTCCACTTTTATAGGTAACAATCATGGAAAAGTTACAATAAAAGATAGGAACTGGTAACCAATGTCCATGCTTCAATATCAGTGTAACCTGTTTATTTTTTTTTCATATTCACCTACTCTTAAAGCAGTGGTTTACATGGTGCATTGATAAACCTGAAAATCCAATCTTCAAAGGCTTCAAAAATGTGATCTTGATTAAAAAAAAAAAAAAAAAAAAGATTTACGGTGAATGTTTACATTTTCCAGGCACCTGCTGAACAATTATTAAAGCAAGAGGCTGAGAAGGGTATTTCCAATGTGTGACTATTGTCTAATTCTATTAATAAACATACCTTTAATGTCCTTTGAATCATTAGTTCTTTTTCCTTTCTATAATATTCAATATCATGTGGGATTGGAACAGTACTGGAAAAAAAAAAGAAAAAAGTTTAATTAGTGTCTTATTACTTATTGTCCATTTTTAGTTATTATTTGATGTTATCTTTAGTCGATTTCAGCAATTAATGATATTTGCAATCAAGACAGAAGACATGAAAACAATTTGTGATTCAGTTTTGCCTTTTATGTGCTTTCTCAAGTTTGTTGAACTGCAGTGCATCTAACAGTATTAACAAATGCATTTTTTTCTTTTGCATATTCTTTTCTGTTATGAATTGGGAGGCTTGGTAAAGGGATTGATTCATTTATTCATTATGGCTTATCAACCCTTTGCAAATTATTTAACCCATAGCTGGAAGGGGAAGAGGTAGATTCATACCTTTCCCAAGGATATTAGCACACAAGTATAACGAACCCAACTGGAATAGAAACTCAGATCTCAAATTAACAATTCCAAGCCATTACCCATTACATCATCTGCACATCCAAACTTATAAAACCTGGTATTTCTAAATGGTTACCATTTAGGTACTGACCAGGCTCAACATTGCTTAACTTTGGTGATCATATGGGAACCGGTGTTTCAATGTGATGTGGCCAAAAGCCTTTGCAAAGGGAAATCATTGATAAGGAATAAGAGGTTGTAGAGAGCCGTGACCACCAGAATCCTGAAAGGATATGACACATAAAAGAAGACGAGTCTGTCAAAAATTCTTGTTTGAAATGTTCTTGCATTAAGATTAAACAAAAAAATAAAATCTATTTTTGTATCATTAATATTATCAATCCTAATTTAAAATTATTTGATGAGGTGTAATGAAAAAACATTTAGAATCATTAAAGCATATACCAAGTTCATCTTTATAGGGTATCACACTATTGTGTCCTTATTCCAGATTTTCCAAATTCCTGTTGATTTGTGACATAAAAAAAAGCTAGAAAAACTGAAAATGTCAAGTTATAATCAATATTTGTTAACTGATGAACTTTATGAAGAAAAAAAAATAGCTAAAAAAATTATGTTTATCAATGGCCCTACTAGATGCAATTAAACTAAAGTGATTGACCAACTTTATATTAAAATATTCTATTTAAATTAACAAGGTCACATCAAATGAACTCATTCAAAATTAGTCATTCTCTGTAAAGGTATTTAGATTACATTAAAAATAAACTAAATAATTGTGCAAGCTTAAAATGTTACTAGTAAGAAAATTCTAAACTAAAAACATTAATCCAAGATTTTAAAAGTAAACAGGCAAATGAATTTTCTACATAATACAGAGTTTTATTTAAAAGCAAATAAGGAAGGATTTATAACAAACTTATGGGCACATGGTTGAGAGGTTAGAATGTACAAATTCTGACCATGGGTTGAAATCACACCATGATCAATTTGTCAGTGAAGTGACTTCTTGATGTTTTTGGGAGAGGCAATCATGGCATGTGGCTCTATGCCTGAAAGCCATGCTAGTGAGTTTATCCAAGCCTTGTGAGTGAAATTGGGTAAACAAAACTATGTGGATGCCATCAATGGTTGTTCTAGTCCTCATGACTGAGGTTTTGAGGGTACTGGCCTTTTGTTCAAATTGGTGATCATACCAGATTATATACTCTCTATTCCTTTCTCTCCCAGAAACTGTATCAAAGTTCTGCTCAGCATAATTGCATTATAAGCCACAGATTGGTTAGGTGAGTGTTGAACAAACACTCATGTGCCTGATTAAGCATCTGCAACAGGGATTAGATAGCAACCCTAACAAATGAGTGTATTAAAAAATGAGTAGCCATTATTATTATTATTATAAATTTACTTTAGAATACCAAATTCATATCATGCTTATTATTTTTATTATGAACTTTATTCTGTTATTGTTGGCTTTTTTATACTGAAACTGTGTTGATAATCTTTCTAACTACTAGAGCAAACAGTCAAACGGCAAATAACTAAATTTCTTCTGACAAAACTAACTTCTATCTGCCCCCCATGTACTCTCTGCCTAAGATCAAAGTGGTACTTTCCAGCCCCCTACCCAAGACCAGTGTAGTATCTGTGTGCTCTGCCAAAAATCAAATTGTTGTTTTCTATAGTATCTGTGCAGTTTATAAAAACTGTTATACACACACACACACACACTATATAGTGATACAAAGTTTTATATATAGACCCAGGTTTGAATCTCACTGTAACCAATTTGTCAATGTGACTTCTTGATAATATTGGACCAAGGAGGCAATTCTAGAAATGCAGCAGTGTTAAGACGCATCTGCAAACTATGCCACAGATTGACCCAAGTTTTATGAGTGAAAATGAGTAGGAAAAAAATCTATTTGGAAGTCATCAACTGTTGTGTTACATGAATAGTTAGGATTGTAATCAAGAATTTGTAAGTGAATTATGGTTCATCATTAAATAACCCATAAGAGGTTGATATACCATTAAATAAATCAAATTAAACTAAAACCATAAAACTGTTCAATTGATCGATTTGTTTTTGTGGCTTATCAACATTTTGCAGGTTATTTAAAACTAAAGAACATTTTTACATTGTAAGAATTTTTTTGAAGATGATTTACTGATGTTCTACTAATTAACCCATATATGAGAGGAGGAGGTGTTTTCATACCTTTCCTAAGGATATTTGCACATAAATGAATATAATGAACCGACTGCAATTGGAACTCAGCTCTCTGATTTACAATTCCATACTGTTATTCATTACACCACCCACACATTCAAGCTTACAGCATTTGATATTCCCAAGTGGTCACCCATGTTGCTACTGAAAAAGCTTGACATGGCTTAACCAGTGATCATAGTAGAACTGGTGTTTCAACGTGATATGGCCATAAGCCTAGAAAGCTATTTGACATTATACTAATCCAATACCAATAATGGTAGATAATGCTTCAACTAATAAAAAATAGTAAACACTATTACTTTACATGTAGTAATATTAAGAATGCCAACAATCAATAAAAATGCATTTGATTTTGTTCTACCAAAGTTTCAAATGCAGTTTCTTTTTGTGATATACTCTTTAAAAAATGAACTGGACATAATAAAATGTAATTCCAGTTGATAATTATTGCCTAGACTAACTGTAACTCAATTAATACCAGGGAACCTTAGCCAGTAGAAAACATTTTCTTTGTAATCATCAGAGCTTGCACTAAGTGATGCTAGCAGATAATTTGACATGTGTCAAGATTTGTTTTTTTTTTTTTTCTTTCATTTCAAGATTGAAGTGAAAATGTTTACCTGAAAGGCCTCGCACTGGAACCTTTCGCCAACTTTAATTCTCCAATTTCTTCTTTCAGTTCTGAAAGAACTCTTTGCACTTCTCTTTCCAAATATTGCGAACTCTCAGAATGTGTGTAACCGAACAATTCTGAGAAATCCATTTCACAAACCTGGATTAAAAAGAAAAGAAAAATTATATTTACTTATTTTTGGAGCATATTAACTCTTCCAAGTTAAAACAACTATGCAAATTAAAAAGGTCACATCAAGTAAGCAAACAGTACACAATTCAATAACTTCAAGTAACATAATTCACAGTAAAATATATATATATATATATATATATATATATATATATATATATATATATATAAAATTTTACTGTGAATTATGCCTGGCATTGCTCATGCTTGATTCAAAAATCGTACGACTCAAACAGCAATTGCTATCACTTGACTTAAAATATTTTTGCCCTTCCTTGCCTTTAAAGGAGTGCCCTTTGCCGTGCTGATGTTGCTACATGCCTTACTTCTTGCCTATCTTGCAAATTTTTTCTAAGCGCTATACTAAATATTAAATCTGTTATGAAAAAAAGAACTAAACAAAATGAACACAAAACAATCAGCTTTAAAAAAGGACTCATAACTGGAAAAACCGAATGAAAAAAGAATGTTAACAGAATCAACGTTGAGTTTAAGCAAGCGAATGAGCCAATTGGAGTAAAGTGCCATGCAGATTTAAATTTTTCCCACTTGTGACGAATGCAGCTATTGATTTTTTTGCATGGTAGCATACTAGTTAACATTCATGTCAGTCAGCTGTTGGCTCTCACACTGGCTAATAGAATCTTCCTGTCTATTCGTGGCAGCCAGCTATTGGCTCTCACTCTGGCCAGTAGAAAATGGCCGCAAACTACATGAACACTGCTGTAGAAGCATGAAAAAAAAAAATTGATTATTTCCCCTATCGATGGGAGTTGGGAAATGCAAAGTCAGCCTTGGCCTTCCTGCTAACTTGGAGCATGTGCAGGTAAGTTTTGGTGCAAATCCGTTGAAAATTGTGGCCGTGCATTTGTTACACACACACACACACATCCTGCCTTTTATAGATAGAGATTCTTAATAAAATACAAAGAAAAATCTGAAATGTTATTGGTTCTGACTTGGTACCTTAGCTTCATTTACTTTCCCACTGACATAATATAGCTTCCCTCTGCCTTTTCTATAAATATTTTTATGAGAATTGTTCTGATGAACTTTCCTCTGTGAATTTAAATGCAATACTAGATTGGTGACAAGTCGTCATTATTTTACAGTTGAAATAGTTAGAAATGTAACTAAGTTCTATGCTAACAGTTTTTTCTCTTGCACTTCTCACCTGCGGAACTTTTTTCCAGCTTCTCACTTTCCAGTAACTTTTGATCTTCAAAAGTTTAAATGCAATCTAAATTGCATCTTAGTGACTTTATTGCCTGTCTTGGGAATGAAAAAAATAAACAAACTAATGTCAAAATACTTAAATCAAAGAGGGATTAGTTATAAATGTTGAATCAATAGTACATTATGACAATTATCACTGATCATGTTATAATAATATTGTTTCCTTTCCAGTAACATTGTTATTGTAACTATAATTATTTTCTGCTTTTTTTTTTTTAACAGTAGGCCTTTGGCCTCGAGGTAGAGGGTTATATTAAGAGATCATTTATGTGGATAGGAGGGGAAGATAACAGTTGAATCTAGACTTGAACAGGTTAAGGTTGTAGAGATTGGGGAAACATCCTCTTAGGAGACTTTTCACAGGGCAGTGATCCGTGAGAAGAAACAGTTTGAGTGGAACTTCTCACCAATGGAATATGGAGGGAATGTGGGTGGTTTGCTACTGTATAAGTGGCATAGTGGGTCCTAGCCATAAAGGTTAGACCTGGCAGAACCAAGAAATATAGTCTGTCCGAGCAGTTTCCATGGTAGTAGTGATAGAGCAGCAAGAGACTCGCCATTGCCCACTTGTGAAAGAGAGGTTGGAGGGTAGAAAATAATTCTTCTCTAACACGGGCTCGGAGATGCTTTTGAACTCTATCAAAACTAGAAAGTGAGGTCTGGGCAGCTCCCACCCAAATATGACAACAGTATTCCATTTTCAGCCTGATCTTGCTCTTATAAAGATAAAAGATAGCATGAGGAGACAGGTACTTACTGGCATGGTATAGGGAGGTAATAATTTTACCTGTATCTTTAGCGATGGATCATATATAGGAGTTCCACATGAGGTCAGGTGTGAATTTGAGGCCCAATATCCTCTCAAGGTATGGGGCTTCCTGGAGAGGACATCAATTCATTGTGACTAGCAGTAGTTC